TGAATTACCTGGAGAATACAATATCTAGCTGTACATGCCAAACACACTGAATTACCTGGAGAATACAATATCTAGTTGTACATGCAAAACACACCGACTCACCTGGAGAATATAATATCTAGTTGTTGTGTTAATGTTATATTGTTAGTTGCCAGATGGGATGCCATTTCAGCCAAGACTACTGCTGCACTGATACCATCTTTATCAAGTACCTGGGTGCCATACATGAATCCTATATAAAATATATAAATACAAAATTCATATAGCATAACATAGCACAGTTATTAAATATTATTAGTAATGACTTGACAAATTGAACTACCCAATTCGTCAGGACAAAATTGTTTGTGCAATAACTTAACCTAGGAAAGCTTAGAAAGAACTCATGTGTACTGAGATTATTAGAGGCATGTTTAAAAGTAGTTATTTCAAACAAGAAGCTAATATTGATCTGCTTTACAATATGTTTAATCCATACTATAAGCCACTGGACCAAAAGTACAATAATAGTATCATTAAATACAACCCATGCATGTTATGCAGTTAGTTATCAAATTTAAGATATATAGTTTTGTTTATAGTAATATAGCTGGAATATAACCATTTCAGGAATATGATTATGATGATTGTTTAACATTAAAACGATTGACATTTGTATCTGATTGTCAAACAAGTACTTGTCCATATTGAGAGATATTACTCTGGAACAGCATTAATTAAAACAAAATCAGCCATTTTGAATACATGTATATATCTATAATGATGTATAATGAATATATAAAACTTGAACATAATCAGTCAAAGCATGTCAGAGATATGGCTCTAGAAACCCAATCATTAAAACAAAATGGCCACCAGTCAGCCATTTTGAATCCGATCTGAAAAATAAAAAGACGTGCATCAGGAAGGCGTAATGTCTAATGTATGTACCGAGGGGTTACAAGTTTGAATGAAATCCATCCATAAATGCTTGATATTTGATCATTTTTTAGCACAAAAATGGCCACCATTCAGCCATTTTGAATAGGATCGTCAAACCAATCTATATGACATGATGCATAATGAATATTTAAAATTTGAACATAATCAAAGCAAGTCAGAGATATGGCACGAGAACCACATTCATTAAAACAAAATGGCCACCAGTCGGCCATTTTTAATCTTATCTGAAAAACAAAACTATTTGCATCAAGGTCCCATAATGTCTAATGTATATACCTAATGTGAACAAAAACCATTTGTAAACAGCCGAGAAATGCTTGATTTTGATGATTTTTTAGTTCATGCATTCGGGTCACATTACAATAGTTCATGCATTCAGGTCACATTACAACAGTATGTGTCACTTGAGTTCATGCATTCGGGTCACATTACAATATTTCATGCATTCAGGTCACATTACAATAGTTCATGCATTCAGGTCACATTACAACAGTCCATGTCACTTTAGTTCATGCATTCGGGTCACATTACAACAGTTCATGCATTCAGGTCACATTACAACAGTCCATGTCACTTTAGTTCATGCATTCGGGTCACATTACAACAGTCCATGTCACTTTAGTTCATGCATTCGGGTCACATTACAACATTTCATGCATTCAGGTCACATTACAATAGTTCATGCATTCAGGTCACATTACAACAGTCCATGTCACTTTAGTTCATGCATTCGGGTCACATTACAATATTTCATGCATTCGGGTCACATTACAATAGTTCATGCATTCAGGTCACATTACAACAGTATGTGTCACTTGAGTTCATGCATTCGGGTCACATTACAATATTTCATGCATTCAGGTCACATTACAATAGTTCATGCATTCAGGTCACATTACAACAGTCCATGTCACTTTAGTTCATGCATTCGGGTCACATTACAACAGTTCATGCATTCAGGTCACATTACAACAGTCCATGTCACTTTAGTTCATGCATTCGGGTCACATTACAACAGTCCATGTCACTTTAGTTCATGCATTCGGGTCACATTACAACAGTTCATGCATTCGGGTCACATTACAACAGTTCATGCATTCAGGTCACATTACAACAGTCCATGTCACTTTAGTTCATGCATTCGGGTCACATTACAATATTTCATGCATTCAGGTCACATTACAACAGTTCATGCATTCAGGTCACATTACAATACTGTGGAATACTTTATTTTCGCTGGAATTAATTTCCGCTGAAAAGGCTTTTTGAGCGTTCTTTATGGAATATATTTTCACTGATTTTTTATGAGTTAAATGTGAAATATAGATAAAAAAGTATATTTGCTGGATTTTATTTTCACGGAATCATCCCTTCAGCGAAAATAAATTCCAAGCGAAAATAAAGTATTCTACAGTAGTTCATGCATTCAGGTCACATTACAACAGTTCATGCATTCAGGTCACATTACAACAGTTCATGCATTCAGGTCACATTACAACAGTTCATGCATTCAGGTCACATTACAACAGTTCATGCATTCAGGTCACATTACAACAGTTCATGCATTCAGGTCACATTACAACAGTTCATGCATTCAGGTCACATTACAACAGTTCATGCATTCAGGTCACATTACAGCAGTTCATGCATTCAGGTCACATTACAACAGTTCATGCATTCAGGTCACATTACAGCAGGTCAAACCTCATACTTGTGATTTCCATTTGAAGAGCATATTGGATTGTGGGAAAATCAATGTTTATCAACACAAATGTGATGACCACCGCGCTTTAACATTAGCTAACTAATATGCAAATTAGATAATTATTAAGCATGGATTTCAACTAAAAACTAATCAGATGTGCACATTATCTCCCAGAGCATCTATGTACCAAGATTCATTGAAATCCTATCAAAATATGCGTGAAATAAGTGGAAATGCCTACAATTGGCAAATTAATATGCAAATTAAGTCGTTAATATATATGCACAGATTTCAACCAAGAAATAATCAAATCAGAGCATTATACCGGAGCATCCATGGACAAAGTTTCATTGAAATCTGTTTAATAATACATGAGAAACAGGAGAAAATGCTAAAAATCAACTAATTAATATGCAAATTACATAATTAATATGCACAGGATTTCAACCGAAAACTAATCAGGTCTGAGCATTATTCCAGACCATCTATGTATGAAGTTTCATTAAAATCTGATAATTGGTTCTTGAGATATCAGTGGAACGCACGCACACCCACACCCACACTCACACACACCCATATTACCCTAAAAACTTTCAGGTTTGTGCAGTGTCCTATGACATCTATGTACCAAGTTTTATTGAAATGTGATGATTAGTACTTGAGATATCAGTGGAAAAGCCGAAAATTGATTAATCATTATGCAAATTAGGTAATTAATATTGCACAGATTTTTACCCAAAACTAATCAAATCTGCGCATTAGTTTGGAGCATCTGTGTGCCAAGTTTCATCAAAATCCAATGAGTGGTTCTTTAGATATCAGTGGAACAGTCATGAAACAGCCAAAAATCAGCTAATTATCATGCAAATTAGGTAATTAATATGCATGGATTTTTACCAAAACCTAATCAAATCTGCGCATTGGCCCAGAGCATCTATGCACCAAGTTTCATCAAAAACTGATGTATGGTTCTTGAGATATCAGTGGAACAGACGGACACACATACACACACATACACACATACAGACACACTAACTGCAAAGACTCCCTTTTTGTGCTTCGCACACGGGAGTCAAAAATTGTTGGAGGTGCTAAATCATTAAGTGACAACAAGATCTCCTAATGGAAAATACTAGCATGCTTTTTGACCAAGGTGCAACCGTACACCAATTACCGCTGGTGACTTCTTCGCTACCTTTCAATCACCAAAAAAATAACATAGTAGTCGAGTAG